TTCAATGTGTTTATACGATATGTATTTTAAGATAAGAATTAACTACTATATTTTTAAAACCCATATTGTATTTTATTAAAGTATTTTAAGTCAACATCGTGTTTATCATATGTTTATACAAATCATATTAGCTGAAATGGTTTAACGTACAGTCTAGAATACCAACTTGTATATGATCGTGAATAAACCTTACATATAAGTTGACACTTTTATAAAGCTAGCTATTGACTCAAAGCAATTTTTTTATAATATAGACGCTTAAATCTATTATGCCAAACTGAATCTTACCGAAACTCTATCTCTCTCTTTTCGATCGTGACTTTTAGCACCATCCTTATTATTTTCCATATCTTTAATCAGAGTACTTATCTCTGGTAGCAGAAGATACACAACAAAGAGGTAGTAATTATCTACGATAGATCGTTCAAAGGTTCGATATAATAAACTTTATTGTTTAAGCTAAATCCAAAATTTTATTTTAATTTTCTTTTTGTAAATTAATATTTAAATCGTTTAGAAGCAAGTAATATCACAAAACTATATGCTTTTTTTATATACTTTATTAATTTTTTTATATGTCATATTATAACATGATATATTTTCTATTAAAATTAATTATATCATGATTCTGATTTGGTAGTATTGTTTCGAGACCAACGTCAAACAGAACTGTCATCTAAAACATCATATATATAGTTCAAGGTACGCTATTTTTTAATACGGATCGTGTAATACATAAAATTGTTAAAATTTACTATAATTTTTCGATTCACATTTTCATCAGTGATAAAAATAATTTTTCGCTTAGTAAATATATTAACAAATACCTCTAATGTAACACCTCCACTGTTCTTTGGATCACAGCACCAAATTAAAAAATATAACTCCACATCGAATGAAAGTAAATGATTGTAATCATTCTATCTGCACATATTTCGGTTTTAAGCATGGAAACAATGACAATCCTTTTAAGGGGCCAACTTCTATTGGTAAAGACAGATGAAGTTGTGCGGCCTGATCCTAGTGATACCACAGTCACACCTTCGATCGGGTGCTACAAGTGAAACTCACTCATTACCAATTATACTTCAAACAGTACCGGGTAGTATCTACCGGATTATAGTCACTTCTTACAACATGTATGCATTACCTTGGGAATATTTAAACCCTTATTTTGAAGGGTTTAAATATTTTAATTGCTACACTTACATGATTACCAAATTTTTTTTTTTTGGCTTGAAATTGATAATATTGATATTAAATTTGGGACGGTGACTGAATCTACAAAGCACGTTCAGTTTTTTTAGTATAAAATATCCAATGAAGGATATTGAAACGATATCCTATATGACACCAAACAATATACTGAAACAAAAATTTTATCCAAATCTCAATTACAAATGGGTCTTAAAACGACAGAATGCACAACCCTGTATAATATATATTTTAATAATAATTTCCTCTATTGATAAAATTAAAAGACATCTGAAAGTATCTTGTTAAAAGTTATCTATAAACGATTTTGTTTATCTGTAAAGATGAGCTTACTTGTACTTGTACTGTTATTCTTCCTACAACTTAAAAAAAAATTATAAATACATTAAAAATGTATTTTCTCGTAAAATAATAACGTTCATAATACTCTTGTATATACTTATATATATGTATATATATGTATATATATGTATATATAAAGTTCATTGGGTTGAAGATAGACAAATTTTTATACCGGTAAACATAAGTAAAAAAAAAAATCGGATCTTTTATTTGCAGTATTGTATTCAATTTCATTATCAGCTAATGAATCATATCTGAAGTAGGTTTTCGTGCTGAAATTTTTTTGTTACGAAACTTGGTGAATGGAAAATTTTTGCTTGCAAAAGTCTGGTATTTTTAAACAAAAACAACAAAAATTATATCAATTACAACAATTATATAAAGATACTTGCTCGAATCTAACACAGCTTTTAATTAAAATTTTTATTGAAGCCGTTTAGGAAATTCTTGTTATTATAGGGATTTATCAGAAAGTTTATAGTCTGAGGAGGGAAATATTGCAAGTAAAAAATTGTAAACAAAATGTTAAAGAGAGAAAAGTGAAGATATTTGCAACATCAACATTTTCTGTCCGATTTAAGCTTAAATATATACACACACGTTCACAAATGTATTGTTTTTCAAAGAACAAATTGTTTATTTTGTTTGCTGAAGAGCTGTTTTCTTTCGATTACATTTATTTGTATCTTATCGTTGCTTACATTATAAATTTTGCAGTACAAGCAAACAAAATTCTAATTTTAAATGCAAGAAAAGGTCTTCAGTTTAATTGAATTTAAAATCTTCCTACCAAAACTGACACATCTGACCTTTTAATAACTTCATCGTCGCCTTTTTTTAGCAAATTTATGTATTTTAAATATTTATATTTATCGCCTAATTTATAATTTCAATTTGGACCAAATATTTATTCGGTTATATCTGCGTACATATTTATAGATTAGAAAAATAATTTATAAAATGTGCAATAAATTAAAAGTATTTCTTTGGGGTTTTCAAGTTATGAGTTTACGCTCTACCATTGAACTGATTCCAATTATTGTAAGAAACTAATGTTTAAACTTCGTTTCAGTGGTTATTATGTTTAAAAAATCAAAAACTAATGAATTTGTTCCAATTTATTTTAATTCAATTATTTATAATTATTTGTTTAAACTTTAAACACAATAGCGAAAAACTCCGAAGAGTTCATGTATAGGAGAGCCCGTATGCAATAGCATGGATTGCATGAATTGGAACGATTTTAAACAAGACTTGATATGAGTCTTTTTGCCCCGTCTACATAACGAAAATATATTACATATATGTTAAATCCTTTAACTCCTAGGAAGAGCATAGGGCCGCTATTTATTGCGGTTTTGTTAATCAGTTGGTTTAAGATTGCCAGGTGTTTGGCCTACCACATCCGATTCTGGGGGCTGTCAACTATTGCCTCAAGAAAATATTGTGACAGTACTCTTATTAAAGTTATACGTGCGCCGTAGTTGACCAGTTACCGCCATCTCTTTTACAGATTCCTGTCTAAGCGTGCAACTCTATCCGCAACCTACTACCTCAAAATATCCATTGGGTAGCTTGCGGGTAGAGGTTTTTAAGGAAGTGACTTTCTTCCGGCTGTTTGGTCCACGGTAGGTATTTTATTTCCCTCCTGTTATTGGATAATCGCACCAGCGATGCGTCTTCTACGGGTTACACCCTCCCATCAAGAATGATAACGAAAATATGATATGAAAATTATAAGTGTAAAAGACAAATCTCTATTCTAAAACAGATAAGGAACACCAGCCTGACACTAATCAACTACTCGTACTAGAAAAAATTACCTAGAAATGGTAATGGAGTATATAAGCTAACAAAATTAATGTAAATAAGATGTTCTGCATTACTTTTAACATCGCAGCTATTTTGAATGATAGAATAAGAATGTAGGATTTTTTAATATATTTTATTTAATATAATATTTTGCTGAAATTTTAGTAATACAGAAAAATTTCAGATACTTTACAAAATTTCTATAGATATCTTAACTGATACTTGCTATAGCAATTAGAAGTGGAAATAGTTTAATTATTTTTTATTTAAAATAGTGCCAAAATTTTTTGCAATTTGGTGTGTCCACAAATACTATATATTTATTCATATATTAAAGGTGAAAATTAATGCTAATTTGGCACATCTTTGTTACAGAATTAAGGCCTATAACATTTGCATAATCGTATTTGTTGCTATTTTAGGATACGTAGCCTACAGTGATTTGGTCTTACAGTACACAAATTGCCACTGCGCCGACGTTGGGCAAAGTAATTTTTACTTTTAAAATTCTTGGTACCAGTACATTATGAGATACAGATGCAATGCAAATTCTTGTACCAAAAAGTAGTAAATGTTTTTACTGAGAATTTAACAAATATGAGCTATTATTTTGTAATTTTTTTTTGTATTTTCCATCTTCTTTCTTTCTATTGTATGAATTGATTTTGTAGTAAAAAGTATCTTGTTTGAATATATAACTGACTCTTTCATTTGAGTTCAGGCACTTAAATGACTCTTTTAAATTTCTCTCTCTCTGTGATTTTAAAAGTAACTCAATTATTTTACTCAATTTTAAGTTACTTAAAAGTATTGCTGTGCAGTTTTATTTTATATTTTCAAAGTTATTATCAATAAATCTGATCAATAAGTTTAAATTGTATAATTAAATTGTAGAATTAGTGCTTAGTTAGCTAGTTAGTTTGATTTAATGTTGTGATTTATTATAGTGATGTAGAAAAGTTTCAGGTAATTTGCAAACATCTTATATGTACATATACATATTTTCTTCAAACCTACTGAACGAATACTCAAGTTAATAAAAAAAAATTGTATTAGTTTTATTGTTAGCTTCAAGGTAAACAGTGCAGCTTATGCGCCGATATTCCTTCAATTTTTTGTGCATTAAATAAAAGATATAGATGTAATCTTAAAAAATCGAAATGTTACTTTTTTAACTTTGAATGTAGTTAAATCGATTTGAACGTTCTTAACATTCTAAACTAGCAATATCTACACTTAGTTCTTCGTGAACTAGTTGCACGCCTTGAGCATGTGGTACCATAAAATTAGTAACCATATCCTTTGGCCTATAATCTATTTTAATATATTCTTTCGATATACAATTTTATTTCATTTCATTTATTTTACAATAAAAAAAAGCAGAAATTACTGTTAAAATTAGCGTCTTTCAAATTAATTTTCCTAATTACAAATGTTACCTGTTTTCATATACGTAACAAGGCCTTCGATTTTACCAGTTTTAATTATTTTAATTATTCAATCAAGTGACAATGATTAACCGTGTGACTCCTAGTACCATCGTTCCAAAACGTACTATGTAACTCTTCAGTGTTGCTTTAGTCAACCCTGTTTTGTATCTTTAAGAGCACACAATCATTTCATTTGCACTCAGTCTAGCCTCGTATCTTGAGTTTATTGGACGTGAAGTATAAAAGGACGGATCGAATAAATATTTCGAGTGTGTGAAAAAAAGTTTTCAATGTAGGAAAATTTATATGTATATATAATATATATATATAGATACAATTGAAGTAAAAATTAAATTTAATTATTGTATCTGTTCTTTTAAAACAAAGCAAAAAAGTTTATGAAAACCAAACAAACATTTATATTTATTTAAAATAAAATATTTTATAAAATTAAATCATAAAAATAAAAGAAAATTAACAAATTTCCGTGCTGTGATAAGAGCAAAAAAAATAAAAAGTGTGAGTTTGTGAAAAAAAAGTATCTAAGTGGAAATATTATGCGAAGAAAAATTCCATGCTGAAATTTCTCAAACGTATCTCAACTTAAAAAATTTCAAATTGTGAATGCAAAAGGTATATTGAGAAACAAGTTCAAAGTTTTTGGTAATTTTTTTGAAACATTTTTTTTAACTTGAATTTTTTTCTTATTTGCTTTTTTTTTTGTGAGTTCGAGTTCATTTGAGTTTTTGTTGGTTTTGGTATTTGTAGTGATGTTGTACAGGTATTTCTACGGGTCTCGTCTCTTTCGAATTTTCTGTTGAGTGCGCTGAGCTTGTTAACCCAAAACTGTGCAAAGTAGTTAATGAACCAAAAACAAAAAAAAACATATGAATTGAAAGAGAAAAAAATTCAAAAATACTGACAACATACGATTCAATACAAAACCAAAACGCCTGGCAGTCAAAGTATCTGTGGCCGATAAAAATGATTTGCGAGCTCTAGCTCAGACCATAATATATGACGAAGTTGGGAAATTACGAACAACTTAGCAACAAAAACAACAAACAGCGCAACTGTTTCTGATGTTTTTAGTGATGACGGCATCATCAGTTCAAGTGGTTGTCTGATATTTATATTTTTATCTTCTATTTGTTTTCTTTTTTTTTTTTTGTGTGGTTATTCGTTAAACCAAAATAATGTATCTTCTTTGTGTATGCATTTTATGTGTGCAAAATGTATCTGCAAGATACTATTCTTCTGCTTTATTGTATTGAACAACGTCATTATTTGTGGTTTTTTTGTGTAGTTTGAACTTTTCTGTTTTGATTTTGTGATTTTAAAATATACAAATTATAAATGTATCTAAATATTGATATATTTCTTACTTTTGGCTACTATTTTATCAACAAAACATTTTCTGTTTTTAAAAAGAAAGCATAAAAACGCTTTGCATATTAATTTTTTAGTTGTGTTTAAAAAAAAAAAGGTTAAAATGAATTTAAATTAGCACGTACATATTTGTATCTATAAGATACTGTGTTATACATCTAATCAGTTAAATGTGCGTGCCAGTTTTATTATTTGCGCTTTTTACAAACAAAATCCTAAAGTGAAACAAAACGAAGTGAAATTGAAAATGATTTTAAAATTATTCTAAAAGTTATTTTAATTTATTTTAATCTTTTTAAAGTCATTTAAGCAGACTTTAAAAAAATTGAAAAAATTTGCATATATCTCCTATTGAATATTTATTTGTTTGTTTTTAATTGAACAGCAAAAAAAAAACCAACATCTGTTAAACAGTTCGTTTAATAATATTGATACAATTATTATGTATATTTATCAAAAACAAAAAAACTTAATGAAGTAAATAGTAATTTTTTTCATATAATATTAATTAGTTCACTACTCGATTCTTTTGAGTGCAATTTCTGTTAATAAATTTTAATAAAATGCCGTCGTAAGCTAAAGTTAAAAATTTGAAATATTGAACATTTTTATATTTAAATATATATTATATATGTCATGTATATGATTTTACTATCTAATGCTCTTTTAAAATTGAACAATATACAGTATAGTATAAAATAAAATCCAATAAAAAACTAACTCTTATTATTTTTATTTAAGTAGATTCTTCAAATTCTAATCTTTGAGAAAACTTGAAAAGAATTTCTAGTAAATACTGCAGAATTTCTAGTAGTGATGAATGCAGAAAGCTAAGAATAAAATATACTTTGAAATATCTCTTATGTTTAAGTCCTGTATTGCTGAAAATATTTGTTGGCTCCACAATATATGAAGTGGAAGGTCATCTGAGAAATACAGTTTCAGCCAGTCTTTAGATTCTTAAAAAAGTGCATCCTACTATAAATTTTTATAGAGATCTTACTTATTTTGGTATCGCTAAAGATCAATTGATTTTTTTTATGTGTCGTACAACCACTCATATTAACCTAATCTTACCTATTACCTATAACTGATATCGGATAGAAAATATATGCGTAGTGTGCAGTTCTAGTTTTGTCAATTTTTAGTTATTCCGTAACTTAGTATTTTTCGTCAGCAAAATGTTAATAAAAGAATTAATTTTCTAAATTTTGTGGATTCTAAGTACTTATACAATGCATTCACTACATTTACTACTGCAGTGCTTTCATATAAAAAATAATCCCTTGAAATAAATTCACGCTTTAAATGTGTGCCCACGTACATCTGTCTAAACTGCTGTATATTTTTTTATCTTTAATTAAGTGAATGATATGAACAATATATTTAAATAAGTTTAAAAGTTGTCTGGTTGGTTTTATGTGTAACAGCAATTGTGAATCATAAATGACGTGATAAATAGATATTACTTACATATGGTATACAAGTATTTTAAAGTATTTTCTATATTCTACTTTTTCTATGCATCTAATTACGTCAATGTTTGCTCAACACTTCTGAGAAGCTTAAGTTTTTAACTTCTATATATGGACACTAACTATTGCTCATATTTCGTAATTGCAATAATTAAGCGTAGGACATTAATTGTCTTATAATTAAAATCATATTTAAATGGAAGATGTATTTTTGTATATCAAAAGATTGATCTTTAGAAAGGTTCTTTATATAAAAACCTTCTACAGTCCTCATGACATTATGCTTATTGTGTTCATATTTGTTAAATTATACATTTGAAAGGATTGTGGTGTTATGATAGATATCTTTAGCATTTAGGATCTTTAACATTTACTCTTGAATGTTAACTAGCAATCTTAGTAGAGCGAAAGTATTGATATACGGTAGATAATTCCTCGTACTTAAAACTAAAAAATCAACTAAAATATTTTCTAAAACTCGTTGAACATATCTATCTCAGTATCACTTGGAAGAATAATGTTTTGATTAAACAAAAATAAAAAATAAAAAATCGAAATAAATACTTTTGAGATTTGTCTCATCGGATCTAGAAAAGTCTGTGTAATTTAAGGCATAAAGAGAAAGATCCAGTTGTTTTTCAGATTTTGAATTGTGATTTAATTGTTTTATAAATTTTTTTATTTAAAAATTTGAATTACCAAGTCATTGAAATATGTTTAGAGATAACATTTTAAAACAACCAGATTGAGATTTTATACATTTGTTTACATATAATTATATATGTTTTAAATTTTTAATGTCAAATAAATTTTATATATTTTATATAACATGTGCGTATTGTATTAATATTAATATGTAGGTATGTTATTATATTAATATGCAAAATATGTTATTTGAATTAAAGGTTGCTACCTCACCAAGATTAGGTCTCCCTTTCGATCAAAACTGACGCAGCTGTGGGGAAGACGATGAGAGTGCCTATATTTTCATTTACTATATTTTTGCCTAGCTCATGCACTGCAGCGGCTTAACACTTTAAAAGCCCCCTGTCTTGAGGATCTTGATTAATTACAAGGCCTGACACTAAATACCATTTTAGGCTTCGCCAAAGGTTCTAGGTGATTTTCCACTAAGCATCACTGATATAACCTAACCTATATTTAATAACTTTTTATTTGGTCGGTCTCTAAGTTCTATTATTTAGCTTCGGAACTAGAAAAGCATTGATTAAATAAAACTATAATTTAAATTGAAATAAATTTATACAACTGAATTTTGCATAAACTTTTGCTTCGTTTGAAAATTTTGAAAAGTTCTATAGAAACTTTCTAGAATGCTTATGAATCTACAAATAGTTTCTGTAAAACAATAAACATTAAAGTTAAAATTAAATCTAAAATTTATATTATAAATATTGTTAACTGTTTGTATAGTTGAATCACCCATTATTATATTATTCTGACTATACCCTTGTATTTGTTTGGGTATTTATAAAGCATTTGATTTCTCTTTTTTGTTTCCATAAAATTAAATTTCTGCATGATTTAAGCATTTTAGTGTTTATGTATTAAATTACTAATTAACATTTCTTATTTAATTATTTAAGTGACATTTCACATTTACAGTGGTGATCTCTTATCACACGATATATGTTCATAACGAATGAGATTTTCTTCGGTAATTTATTCATTTAAAGCTTTTTGCACTTCATGACTACTATAACATTTTAATAAATTTTTATTTTCATTTGTAAATGAACAGAAAAATATTTTTTATTTTTTAAATAATAAACTAGTAATTACAACAGTTGCATATTTTACTTAAAATAATAAATAAGACTTGTCTACGTGCTGTTAACATATTTACTAGTATTTCAAGTGAATTTTTTAATGGATTACTGAGAAAAGAATATATCTTATTTCAATATAGATACAATATATACTCGTATGTAAGAGTTAGGGGCTTTTTTGCTGTATTATATATATATTTACTGACAAGTATAGTTGTTATTTATTTAGAAACTAATACCTTAAGACGTTTACTAACAGCAGTTTTGCAGTTTTTACTCAGTTAATTATTTCAGTAAAATTAAACCATATCAAGTGCACTCGAGTTTGATATGAAATAGAATTAAATATTTTACAAAAGTACTTTTGAAATACATATTCTGCGCGTATTTAATTTATTTTGTTTTTTATATTGATGTACAATATAATTTTATATACTCTCCAATGAATAATTTCAAGTGCTTTAAATTTTAAGCTGAAGTGGCTTAATAAAGATTATTTGGAATTTTCGATACAAAGTTCTTAAAGTATATCAAGTAGTCGTGTGTATTAAATTATTAAAAACGAAAATAATAATAATAAATGTCGTGAAAAACAATAAATATTTTGACGTAAATGCAAATCTCCGTCAATATTTTTGTAATATTTTTGAAAAATAAAAGTAAAACTTTGTTGCAAAAATAAATAAACATGTATTTTAATTACTTTTCACAATCATTAAAATTATTACAAAATTTAAATTTCTAATTATTATTTGTATACAAAATAGTCATAAAATAATTTTAAAATATTTTTAAAATATTTTTTCTGAAGACATGCATTTTCGTTTTACTACTCAACTAAAGTTGATAAAAAATATTATTAAAATTGGAAAGATTTAAAGAATGTCTTCAAAATTAAATTCACTTAAAACAACAAATTTAAGTTTTAATTATACGTATCTTATTAAAGACATGTTATTTCAATGTGTCTAAGGATACT